CCCTAACTATTCTATGATTCTATGAAGAAAGAGACTTTATAAGATCACCATGCAGACCTCAGTTTGTGCAGTTCTGCCAGCTCACAAGATTACTTGCCCTATCTTGTCACTGACACCTTTACCAGCGGTTATTGCCTTCTCAGATCTGAAACCAAGTTGCTCTTTTGAAATCTTATTACATCACTCCATTAAAAATAAATTAAGTTGGTAAAGAGCTACTATTTAATCTGTTTAACTACTCCTATTTGTCTTGGTAATATCTTAGAGAATGGCATACAAACATCAGCAGATCTGCAAAAGTGGAATACTAACAGTGATGAAACAGCAGCAGTAACTTCCACTGTTCTAACTTCCAAGCTAGAAAACTAGCAGCTGAAAGGAGAGATGTCAATAGACTCAGATACTAGTCATCTGACAAACTTACAGATCTATTATTCTTAGTTCATACAGAACAGCACCTTAACTGAGGCACCACTGACAATGGTTAGATTTATCCAGTACTTCATAAATGCATTATAAATATGGAAGTCTCATCCTGAGTGTACAACTAGATCTTTGCAGAATTTAGCATATTTCTGGGCCCCTCACTACAAGAGATATATTGAGTTGCTGGAGCAGGTCCAGAGAAGGACAACAAAGACGGTGAAGGGTCTGGAGAATAAGTTTCACGAGGAACAGCTGAGGGAACTGGGGTTGATTAGTCCGGAGAAGGCTCAGGGGGGACCTTATTGCTCTCTACAACTACCTGAACAGAGGTTGTACAAGGTGGGTGTAGGTCTCTTCTCCCAAGTAACAAGTGATAGGACAAGAGGTAGCAGCCTCAAGCTGCACCAGGGGAGGTTTAGGTTGGATATAAAAAAAATATTTCTTCATGGAAAGGGTTGTCAAACATTCGAACCAGCTGCCCGGAAAAGTGGTGGAGTCACCATCCTGGAAGTGTACAAAAATCATGCAGATGAGGCCACTAGTGACACGGCAGTTGTGGGGTAAGGGTTGCACTTGATGATCTTAACAGTCTTTTCCAACCTAGTAGTTGATTCTATATTTACTGATGTATGTGGTTGGTTAGTTCATGTCTACAGAAATAATGCCTTTTTTTGCAACAAATCCCTTTGTTCGGTATTTAATTGTTCTGCTGGCTTCTCTGTGGACATGTTATTCCAAATAAGACCTTGATATTGTTTGGGTTTTTTGGTGGTTTTTTTGGGGGGTGGGCAGTGTTGGTTTTGGTTTTAGGTTTTTTTTTAGTGGTTTGACTGTTTTTCCATCAATGTACTTTGTTAAAATGAAGGAAAGTCTTTACCTGCCTCTATATGCTAGGCCAGGTTTCCCATGGTATCACAGGAGAGGACAGCCTCCCCAGTATTCATTGATTATACATACAAAAGCATTGTTTACAGATGTGAAAAATATCTTTTTAAAACAATAAACTGAAAAACAGTTGCAACATCTCATAATGTTTAAAATGAACAGCTGCGCTATACCTGATTGAGAATCTTCATAGCTTGTGTCAGTGGTTGCACAAAAGGTACTTGAGGAAATACTATGGGCAAGTGATGGTGAAGTAAGAAATGGATGCAGAACAACTTCTCCACTACTGTGGTCTTTGCTGTCTATAAAACAAGATTACAAACTGCATTTGAGCAAACATATTTTATTGTCTGTGCTTTAACAGTTTATAAACGGATATCTGTGTCTGTATTTTTCTACTTCATGCTTCAGTTTAACAACTAACAGTTCTCATTTGACTCATGATGAAAATCTTATATTGGTCATTAGACCTGAGACAAAAACAAACAAACAAAACCAAAACAAAACAAAAAACAAAATAGTTTTTCCTATTAACTCTATATTTTACAGCCTGGGTCTCTACACTTGCTGAAAAACACCTATCAGAACAGTGCTAATTCAAGAATTCTAAGTCATGAACAGAATATTCTTAAGGATTTTTTGATCACAGCTCTGAATGAGTCTCAGCATACCATTATCAAGCTCTTTCAGACTCAACAACAAATATTTTACAAACTTAAACGTATGCTTCATCAATCCATCAGTTCTGTCAGAACATATGTTCAGACATTCTCATGTCGGCCTATGATAGGATTAGAGGACCCTCTGCTAGCTATCTCTGATGTCAGTCTCCAGAACAAGAGTAGAAGAGGAACCCAGTGTAATTTCTAGAGAAGTTAATGCACCAGTAAGAGAAGGAAGAAGTCTGCACAACTATCTTTAATTTCTGATTACTGGCACCATTATTAGTGTGGTTTGGAGCAAATAACACAAGAACAATATGCCAGATATGTGGAAGCAAAGCCTCCCTGAAGACCTTTAAAAGCCACTGAGTTGTACAGATATGGTTTGGTCACATTATATAATCTATACAAAACCCAAAAAATAGACTCAAGGAATTCAGTGGCAGTGACTTGCTTAAAAACTCTATTGTTTGGGCTGTTTTATCTACTCATACTTTAAGATCTTCACAAAACATTCCGTAGGATTTAGGTTTGCCCAATATTTTTCAATAAACATTACCTAATTATTTGTATATATGTTTTCCTCATTTTCAACAAGAAACAGAAGCTATTAAACCGCTTTAAAAATTTAATTGCATTATCCCCTTGTAATTAATGATGAAAAATACTATGTTAATGATAACATCCCTATTATCACACTAAAAACATTGCTAATAGTACTGGACATGATGTAAGTTTAAGTAGAGTGTTAACTGCTTACCGCTTCTCAAGATAATTTGCTCATCAGGGCGGTTAATTGCGAAATATGGATATAAAGTAAGAAGGCAATTCTCTGCTGTTGCAGCAACTTGAATTTTGAACCTGTTCAAAACAAAATACAAAAAGTGATAGTTTCCATTCATCCTGCTTTCTGCTTTTATTCAGCAAAAATCTCAGCAACAGGGCATCAGCAGGACAGATGGCTATGAAAGATTAATCTATATGTATAAAATGTACATTTGTACATGCTTAAACCAGGTGTCAGAGCATAATTTTTTTTTTTCTACCTTCATCAAGCCATTTGAAGACAAACAGGATCAATAACTATAACACGGAAGTTTGCCAACTTCCAACTCATGACATTACTGTGATAAACAACAATTCTACTACTCTGCAGGCATACACTAGGTTAACTTCAGACTACATAATTGGGGAAGGGGTGGAAGAAAGCTGTATGAATGTTAATGGAAGACATAGCTCTCAAGTTATATGACAGTAACCGAATGTCTGTATTATTGGACTCAGTCAACTTTCTGATTTCTTAGTTTGTGGTAAGCATCTCAGCAATCTCCATCCTAAATGCTGATTTGAGATGTGGGCCAAATCTGTCAAATCTTCATTCATGCTCTGATTTGCACAATAACAAAGCAGAAAAGTCTGCTTGAGAACTGCAGTACATCTTAACTAGTTACCCAAATGCAATGGGTGATACTACTCTAGGCAAATAATCTAGAATATAAAGAACAGCCATTGCTACAGAACATCTGTGTACAAATAAATGTCTCAGACCTCAAAATGCTGCTGCAAGACAAGCTCCTCCCTGTTCCATGCAGCTAACAATCCAACAAGGGCAGATCTCCTTGGCTGCTGTGGTATTACAGTAAGAGAAATTAATATGCCCAGCCAATAGCAAATGCATATATTCTTAATCGAAACATTTAGAAGCTTCAGAGTGTTTATAAGATGATAAAAGATTGGATAGTGAAGCACCTGTGCTGGCAGAGCATGAGCTGTGAAGCAACATTAGGAAACTGCAAGTGATAGTCATGAGTAAGTGCTACAGACAACAAAGAACCTCATTTACCAGTCTGACCTTTCATCTAGGGAGGTTTGCTGCTTGCCTGGGGCTTTGATGCAGGATGCTGTTGAGAGACTGATGCCGTTTTCCTGACCCTTGGCCCTGCCGCTTTTCCACATAAGCACCAGTGAAGTTGGTGGGGAACAGCTGACTTGGAACATATCAGACATGACTGCATGGCTTTGGGGGCAAAATAAGGGAATAGGGCATAGGTGGTCTTCAGTCATGCTGTTGAGGAAAAAGAGCTTGAGGATGAGCAGATAGATCCTGTAAGTCAACAACTGATTCTGCAGCTGATATTGACAGCAAGGATTTAGCTCCTGTGACCATGGCTTACCATGGCTGCAGTGACTATGATTCAGGATTCTGAAAGGAAGAAATAAGGCAAAAAGCCATTATCGCAACCCTGGAATTAAGAAGAGCCAACTTTGGCCAGCAAAGAGCCACAAAGATGAAGGGACAGAAGAACCTGCCGTAAGGGGAGACAGAATTGTGAGTGTTCAGCCTGGAGAAGGCTCAGGTGGATCTTATCTACATGTATGAATATCTGATGTGAGGGAATAAACAATATGGAGCCAAACTCAGCTATTCTCAGTGAGAGCACAAAAGGCAATGGGTACAAATTGAAAATACAGGAAATTCTATCTGGTCATTATAAAAAAAAAAAAAAAAAGAAAATGAAAATACTATGAGAATGGCTGAACGCTATAGAAGAGTCTGCCTAGAGAGGGTTGTGAAATCTCCATCTTTGGAGATACCAAAAAAAAACAGTTGGACAACAGTGTTGATTATGATTTGAGGAGGATATTTAAGAGGGGACAAGAGGATATCTGGAGGCTCTTTTTAACCTCAGCTATTGTATGATAATAAATTTGACCTGTTTATTGGCAACCTGCTGACTCATCACCATTAAGTATTTTAATATGGTATTGTCCTTAAAGTGGAATTTGAAAGGAAACTTCAAGAAGAAGGAGTCAGTAGCTGAAAAAACTCACGAGCTTGAAAAGATGACACTCCATTTATAAGGAATCATAGCACAAAAAAACAAAGGTGCTAGGAGCTAAATAGTTATCATACACATTTCAGGCACTGAGATATATGGCACCAGAGAGAAAAGCATGCATGTTTCCATACAAATATGGCAAATAGATTACAAAGACATGTATTCTGCATGTGCTTAGGATCATCTTGTGGCACTGACCTTTATTTATAACCATACATATATTTATATATAACCATTCATGAAATGAGGTTACAAATCTAGAGTTTTGTGCAATGTATTCATTCCGTATTTGCAGCAGAGCTTAACTAAATAATATCAAAGTCTGTGCTACTCTATTAGAATGAAAGGTACCTATATTGCTAGCAAATGTGAAGTTACTAAATATGTTAAATTATTCAGTGTATTCAGTTTTATAATGCTTAATAAAGCAAGTAAAATATTTGTGATCTACATGGACCATTATTGCCACTGCTATTCCAGTGTTTATTCTCTAATGCATATTTCCAAAGAACACAAAACTGGAAAATGGCCATTAAATATACTATTTACCAACATTTGAAACCTGCTGATCATCAAAAACTAGGCTCCAACTATGATGAAAAAAAATTACCATCCAACATTCTATATAAAAGCAATTTGTTTACTTTTAAATTAACAAACTAACTCGGATTATTTTGGTTTTGTTGTTTTGGGGGTTTTTGCGGGTTGGTTTTTTGGGGGGTTTTCTTTTTTTTTTTTTTTTGCTTTAATGTTTGTGGAAAGACAGAAGAACCTGAATCAAAACATATTTATCCTTTTTATTTTTCTCTATAGCATTTCAGACGTTTTCTAAATAGCAAGTGATGCGTCTTCCATCAGTGTACCCCAAATGCTCTAGAAATACAGGCACAGTTAAATAACGTTTCTTCAACAGTATTAACAGAGGCAGTATATCATTAACAGTTTCTAAAGAGAAAGAATCCAAAACCATTAGGCTATAACTGACAAATTTCTTTAACAGCATTGCTTGGGTAAATTACAAAAATATTTAAGGGAAGCTTGCACTGCTAGTTTAGGAAACAAAACATACTGCTTGCGGAATTGATTAGTGCTAAAGGGAAATGATGCGAGTGTGAGGCATTTTACAGGTCTTTAAGAAGAAGGAATAACCTAGTCACAAGGAAAAAGAAGGTGTAATTTAAAAATAAATAACTAACTAAAGACCTGCTCTCCACACAGGTTCACAAGCACTGAGGAGCCCTTATCCTTTGTGGCAGAAACTCAGGCTTCCACAGAAATCAAAATAATATAATAATGAGCAGTGACAGGCACACTGTTTCATATGATATATGAGACATAGATGGGAAAATAGCCATCTTTTTTCTAGTAGCAGCAATGATGTCAGTTTTTTTTATTCAGGAATAACAGACACTTCAGTTGGCAGGGACCATAAAAACAGTAGAAAGGCACAAGCACAGAAAAGAACACGAATGATTAATGAGTTTGAACCATCCTGATGTTCAAAAGCACTCCCGGTCTGAAGTAAAATGCCAATACATTATTAGGTCAGATGAATGCAGCAAACAAGCATGCAAATATCAAGAACTCAAATGTTTTCTATCTCCCCGCTCTCTCCAAATTTAAATGATATTAAATGAAATTGACAGCTCTTATTCTCTAAGATATGCCAGCATGTCCTGGGTTCAGCTACAGCAGTCATTTTTTCTCATTCTTAGTAGCTGGTGCAGTGCTGTGTTTTTGACTTTCAGTCTGGGAACAATGCTGATAACACCGATGTTTTTAGTTGTTGCTAAGTAATGTTTACTCTGACCAAGGACTTTCTCAGTCTCATGCTTTGCCAGGGAGGAGGGGAAGCCAGGAGGAAGCAGAGACAAGACACCTGACCCAAACTGGCCAAAGGGGTATTCCATACCACAGCACGTCATGCCCAGTATATAAACTGGGGGGAGTTACCCGGAAGGCCCAGATCGCTGCTCGGGTCGGGCTGGGTATCGGTCGGCGGGTGGTGAGCGGTTGTGTCCTTTTCCCTTGTTATTCCTCTTATCATTATTATTGGTAGCAGTAGTGGTTTGTATTATACCTTAGTTACTGGAGAGCTGTTATCTCAACTCGTGGGAGTTACATTCCTCCAATTCTCCTCCCCATCCCTCCGGGAGCGGGGGGAGGAAGGAAAAGGGGGGGAGTGAGCGAGCGGCTGCGTGGTTCCAAGTTGCCGGCTGGGCTTAAACCACGACACAGCAGAATACATGCATTTGACATTTAAAAGCAGTGCTATTAAAAAGCTGCATGGTTTAGGCACATTTCCCAACAGCAAATGGGGAAAAAGTCTTTTCCTCTATGAGACACAGAGATCTCACTTCATAACTGGGTACCTTCTAGTGATTGTGTCTCAGAGGCATTATGTCCTCTCCTCCTGACGTTCCAGCCATGAAACAACACAAATAACACCAGAAATTTCACGAGTTTCTTCAGGATCCCAGTGGGAGAGGGAAAGAAAATGGAGAACTGTAGAACACAGGAGGCAAGGACCACAGCACACTTCTGTCACCGACCACAGCAATTCAGCTACCCACCACATGTGGGGGGTTTTGATACTTTGGTGCCCAAAGCACCATTTCCTCTGGTTGTATAACAAAACATGTACCTGTTGTTTACTACTTATTTTTTAGAAAGATTAAATTAAATGTAATTTCAATCAGGATGGCAGAAACCTTTCTTTCCTGCTAAATTTATTTATCTAATCAGCAAATTAAAATATATAGTAACAATTAAAGAACAAATATATAGACGTGCCACTTTTGCAGAGGCTTTTTTTGTTTATTTTTTCAGGTTTAAGGACATAAGTGTCATAGCTGAATATTTCTTCCCATTTATTAAGTACTTGCTCAATACATTCTTGGATTTTATGTTATCTTTTACTTCTCTATTACTATAGCCCCATACAGGGATATGTCATTTATTCTGTTTTGGAGTCAAAGAAGCAAAAAGGAAGAATAGAGATTAAAAATAACATTAAAAATTAACTGCAAATTCTCATTAAATCACTAAAAGCAGTCACTAAACAAATATTAATGCACTTTCTTAGGAACTATTTAATGGAATTTGTGTACACAGTCAATTACCGGCACAAATGACAACCATGTATCTCTTCAGTTTTCTTTTACAGCTACAAATAGCATGGTTTTGCTATAAAACATGATTGCCTATCTTCTTTCAACTGTTTTCTATAAAGTAGTCAAATTCAACAATAACTATCCTCTACCAGTGTTCACTTTGATTTAAAGAAAAAAAAGACATTATTATCTAGATGGACTTAATATGCACTATGTTAATCAATCCTACTGAAGTTTTAAACACAAAAAGCAAAACATTGCATGGCCTAAGTAAAAAAAGACCAGAACATATCATTTGTCTCATCAGTACTCATGCTTTTAAATATGCCTACAATTAGTTTTGCTTAGAAGTTAAGGTTCCTCTTCTAAGTAGTTAAATACAGGACATGATATTTTACCTACATATGAAAATAACTTTTTAACTTGCTTATCTTAATTCCATTCCAGAACAAAGAATATGAGTTGAAATTCAAAATTTTAGTTCAAATCATTTAAAAATACATATTATTATTTTGAAAATGGAAATATAAAGAGAGAATAGCTGACAAATTAATGCATCCTCAGCAACTGATACTATGAGATTTCACAGCCTATTAAACAAACCAGGAACCTATCCAAGATCAGTTAGCTTTTATAGGTCTTTTAAGAGGTCACAGTTTCATTATTTTATAATGAAAGAACTAGAAGGCCCCAAAATCTTGCCTTCCTAAAAGATTTCTCTTCCTAAAAGACTCAAATTAACAAAGCAGTTTGAATTCATTAGTTACACAGTTTGAAACAAACTGCTCAAATGCTCAGATAATTAGTTGAATCAGGTTTGAAGTTTGAATGCATTGCAGAGGTCTCCCATGGGGGAAGGGGCTGGGAAGAATGAGGATATGCAGAGAAGAAGAAATTGCAGCTACAGATTACTACAGAATGGAATATCAAAGCACATAATAATATTAACAGTAGTAATGAAACCCAAGTCTGGATAAATTACCAAATACTTTCTTTGGAACAGCAACAAAATGATCAGGATTTGAAAAATTGGGCACTTAGATTTTCCCAGTTGAAGAAAAGGATTCTTTCTGGTTATGACTTCAAAAAAAATTATTCCAAAAGACTATATAAACAGTATCACTACATTGACTAATAGCATATACGGAAACCCTTTGTTTTGGATGGTGTGCTGTTGCACCCAGTTATGTGCAGGTTATAAATCATCTGCTTCTACAGCCCACACACATATGCAACTCCCTGACAAGAAATCACATATACGTTGTCAAACCAATGTTGCTAGTTCTATCCTGCAACAAATACCTACCTACTATGTTTCAAAATACAGCAGCAATTTTAAAGTGATGTGACATTTCAGACCATGAATTTTTTCACCTTTGTGAACACAGATGTCACAATCTTGAGGTTTAAGATTACTTTGATGACTTTTCAAAAAAACATTGAGTTTGCCTTTAAATTGAAGATGGTATCCTTTATTTCCTTTTAATGGCAAATATAGGAAAAAAAGTTTATTACACAGCAGAAAGGATTATTTCTCTATAACAAGGTTTGAGAAGCTGCTAGTGCATCATATCAAAACAGTTATTAAAACTAAATATCGTGCCTGCTCAGAAGCTGTATTTAAGACCCCGTCATAAGTTTAAGTTATCCTTTTCTCATAATTACTGCAAGACTTAGCACAAATTTATGAATCACATCCCACACAATGATGTAAATCTTGGAATTAAATAAAATGAATATGAAACAGATTCCTGGCTGACAATCTATACACTAAAATATTAAATACTAATCCAAGGCAAGCAGCAATAACTGAAAAGGTCCACAACCCTTGCATCAAAATAATATAAAACTTAGTTTAACACTCAGGAAGAAGCCCATTCTAAGACGTAGGATGAAGATATTTAACCCTCAAAATAGCTGCTTCACACACCAAAATAGTAACTGCAGGTGTTACTTTTAATCACAACGATACTTATCATTCCTCATCATGTATACCCCCATTGATCCCCCCAAGGGAAGAGATGAACAAAGGGATAAATGCTGAAAATGGTTATTTTTGCACAGAACATTCAATAACAGATTTGATCTCCATTTACTAGAGGCAGAACGACCTTCTGCATTGCTTTTCAAAATTAAGTTACTTAAAAACCAGGCTACTACAATAAAATCAAAATAAGATGCAAGAATTTCATGTTTGCATATGTCTTCATCACTAAACAGTGTTTTAAAGAGATGAATTTTGGTATGAGCACTGAGTATAAATTGCTGTCAAACTCTAGGTGTTCTGTCCTTAAGGAAATTAGGTCTAACACGAATCAGACCATGTAAATTCCTAAGTATTTTTCAGATGCTTATATTCCCACATAATTTCAGTACTTTTGAAAACTTCAAATGCTTTCTGACTTAGTGTGCAGGATTACATCTGAGGAAATATGTAAAATATATAAATAAATAACTAGCAATATAAAGCACATCTGTCCCTTATCCCTTCTCTTTCATAGTGCCCACTTCTGATACTGATGTCCCAAAGTTGCTCTAAGGAAGTGCAGAAAACACTGAAGAGCCCACCACAGAGGGTGGGAGAAGACAGCAACAGTTTTTCACACTTTGCTATCCAGTTCTGTGTCTCATATATCAGAATTATATAGGACAAGACAGTATATTGTATACTTCTCATACAGGAAAGTGTGGTCTGAAGCTGAAGGTGTACTTTTATGCATTACACATTAAAAAAAGATGAGCAATATCCATCCATGCAGTTTTGGTTACCTGGCTGTTGAAATGATTCCTTTTTATCTTATACCCCAAAGAATGCCTTCACTGAGATCAGGAGTTGGCCTCCTTTTTATTCATGAACCAACTGAAAAAATCTGGTCAAAGGTAATGCCCTGCCCCTTGCAAATTTAAAAAAAAAAAAAAAAAAATGGGGAAAAAAGGCAGAAGCGTTACAACAGTAATCACTTAGTAGTTCCCAATTCCTGTCTTGGAATACACACTAAGTGTAACACTATTACAGATGCTGCAGGAAGAACTAGAGAACAGGAAATGCTTCATCTGAAGTTACAAACTCATAACACGCTGTCCTGCTCTAGAAAGCTGAAAAATAGAGAACATAAATCCACAGAAAGAAAAGTGTTCAGATATAACAATAAAAGATGAGTTAAAAATGACATTTAAAAAAATAAACAAAAACATCAAAAAAATGGGACATACATACACACACACTCCCCCCCCCAAAAAAGGTAGCAGTAGAGTGCAGGGGAAAAAAGATAACATTGAGAGCAAAAGACTGAAGAATGGCATATACTGAGAGAAGGAAGGAGGGATGTCCCTTTAAAATAAGACTGCGACATGTTCTTTGCTGTTTCCTAGCAAGATGAAATTCTGACTTCAAGTGTAACTCTCCCTTGAGAAGTCTTCTTCCTTTTACTCTGAAGCTCAGAGGCTCACAAATGAATAAACCACGTGTATAAATAATAGATCGCATGAATAAATCACAAACATCCTCAATAAATAAATAAATAAATACACAAATAGATAGATAGATAGATAGATGTCTGCTTTGGGGCAGTTCCACACTGTACAGGTAAGTCTTTAAAATAAAGTACTTGCTAAGTTACTAAGAGATGTCTCCTCTTGAATTCTTTGGTACCAGAGGAACAACTAAAGCTTTGGAGAGGACTTATAATGGAGTAATCCTTTGCAAGATCACTCCCCTGCAACTTTGTAAAGATTTGTAAACAGGTGATGAAAACCACCAGCTCTTCCAGATGCCAGGGAACTCTATACCAGTCACAAACATTCCATTGTTTTAAAAGATGAAACATGAGAGAAAGGCTCAATGAAATAAAATTTCACAGTTTGGCTCAATCCAAAATCAGACAACCTCGAAATCCAGCATGGAATGGACTGGAAGAATTCAATAGGGTATTTTTCAAAAAGCAAAATATTTTGTAATAGAAAACACTGGGATTTGCTCAATGAGGACTATGTCTCTCCAAAGCAATCTGAGAAGACTGAAGTACACATCAGAATTAGCAGTAGATATAAATGATACACAAGAACTTAAGATTGCCACTTAAATGAATCTTACCTTAGAGACCAAAGCTGAACGTTGTGGTTTTGAATTGTAACTCAGCCAAAAAAAAAAAACAACCAAACCCACAGTTCTGTGTTTTGTTTGGTTTTTTCAGAATGATTCTTGCATGCTTTTACCCAACCATTATGAGTCCTGTGTTTTATACCTAACTTTGTCAGTTTAGACCATGCCCAAAATTAATTTCAATTGAATACATTACCTGTTTTCTTCTTCATCAATGAAGCAGATATTCCCTGAAAATGACACTGGCCTAGATGATATGAAGCTGATATGACAAATTAGTTTCCTATTTGCGCCATCTGAAGAAAGAACAGTATCTTGTCCTGAGAACTGTACAGAAAAAGGGCAAATCCTTTCACCATCTTCGAGTTCAACCTCTGGAAGTTCAACTTGAATTCGTGATTGCCTGTGTTAAAAGTAAACAGTAATTGTGTTTGTGCTCACAGTTTGACAGTAATAAAATTAAATTCACAGATTCACACATATGAAACTTTTTCACAGTTGCATACAGAATAATAACTTGAGTTTTGAACTATCAATCAAGTTAAACTAAAAGATTAATATTCTTTTAGCATTTAGTTTGTTTTCCACACGTCTGAATGTTTCATACCGACCCACAATAGTCCAACATCTAAAAGAACAGCAATTTCTACTAAGAGCATAAATATTACTTCCTTACTTTAGATATCCTAAAATTAAAACTTTCATTGATATTTATTAAGCTGCATTATTGCACAACAGTTAAGGCAAGTTTTGAAATAGAAATATTAAGGGGAAATTCATGAAGATACTTAAGATGCTTTCCCCCAGTTACGTAATTTGAAGTTCCAGTTCTGAAATGAGAAGAGCAGTCAGTCCAGACCCATATGAAGTCCTTTCAGTTCCAACTACTGATTTACTGACAATAGAGAAATCACTTGATAAATTATTACAAATCAAACAAAATAAAACAATAATAATTTGAAAGCAAATTTAATTTTGTTAATGTACAGCAACTTAAAGACATTTGTTGCAAGTCTTCAGGTATTGAAATGATAGCTACAAAAGCATAACAAACTAATGTTACCGCTCTTTACTAATTGCAAATAGAAAAGTTGTATCTTATTCAATGCACATGCACACAAGAGTGCTTCAAATGATTGAAATACTAAGGATTCTATCATATTGGAACAGGTGTGGTGCTGAGTTATGCTATATAATATGAAGATTACAAAAAGGCTCTTTTCAATTCAAGTAAGAGGGTAAAGAGGGTGATCCACAGAAAAATTTAAAATACATGGATTACTTATTAAGTGACAGGACCAAAACGTTTGTGCTTTGGTAGTAAAATCTTGCTTAAGAAGAGAAAAGCAAAACAATACAAAAAAGGAATTAAAAAAACAAAAAAAATAACAAAAATAACCCACAACCCCACCAATTGTCCAAACAACATCTAGATTTCAAAGCAGTGCTTTATAACGTGTGGAGTAGAGAAACTAAAACTACAGAAAGATTTTATCTGGTCACAATGTGAAAATATAATGAGACTATGACCTTAGTATTGGCTAAAGTTAACAAAAAATCCTGGTAGGACTCTGTTTTCCAGTTTTGTGCTATTCAAAGTAATTTTAAAAGCATCTGACCAGAGTAAATCTCTCAGAAGATGGTCACTTCATGAAGCAAGAATATTTTGAGGACAGAACATGGGCTTGTTGAATGTACAGCAATATTAGTTACATGAATTTTCTCTTAAATATGCAGACTCCTCTGCTAAGCAGAAAATCAACCCTAACCTTCACAAACAAATTAATTAACTTTTAGAAGAGAACAAACCCCAAGAATTATTCAAGATTTCTGTAATAAATTTATTTTGAGTTTTTTACCTTAGATAATCTTGTGGAATGATACTGATGGCTGTTTCGGTTTTTACATCCAGAGGGACTGGCATCAGCATTAAAAAGGGGGGATCAAAGAATATATTTGGTGACTTCACAGTGCCAGACAGTGTTATTTTGTAATGTGATGGATTATCATCTAGACACACCGACATTTCGGATACATATGTCCCAGGACAAGCTGTCAAAAAATAAAATAAATATATATATAGAACCATAAACATATGCAATTAAAAGAGTTTGGTGAGGCTTGGGAGGAGACAGAGGTTGGTTGGTTGGTTGGTTTAAAAGTCATTGGTATTGCTTTCTTCCTTGAAATGTAACTTAACATACAGTGAATACTGTATTCTGATCCAGTTGTATCAGAAGAATTATTTATTAAGAAAGCTTATAACACTTGCCTGTAGCACACCAGAAATCCATACTTTGTTTAAATTTGTCAGAAATTTTTCAAAGTCTGAGTTCTTCATTTATTGTATTAATATTCTTTTTATATAACATCAATGTAATGAATTTTAAGAATTGTAGTCATGTAAGTTACACTAATGAATACAGAGAATGATAATTTTATAAAGGAATAAATATAAGAAGCATCTGACTTCCAAGGCAAGAAAAATTTGGTGCCTTTTAGGATGGCAATCACTACATTTTAACAGATGACCCTAAAACCTGTACTGTTGCCAAGTCAGCCTCACACAAGCCAGCAGGACAGGTTCTACCCTCCACTGAGTGCATCTCCCATGTCCTTGTGTTCTGCCCCTTGTGCCATTTTGATAACTGATGTAAGGCATTTTTCTCTAGGATGGAAAAGCACATTTTCTCTCACTGATACAGGGAGCAAGGTGATTTCTTCCGCCATTGTTACACTACCAAAACGGTGTTTCAAATCATTCAGCATCATTTGCTAACTTTTCATTAATTCCAACCTGCTGAAAAGCAAAATACACAATTTTAAGGTCAAATTAATGAACACTTCTTGTATTTATAAATAAGTCTGCATGATATGTTGTAGGACAACCAAAAAATTTAATATTTTCATTTTTGAGAAAAACACCTTTCTGTTTGGTTCCTCTCTGTCATCAGATTAGTAAGTATGAAGACAGCCTCGCTGAATATTTAAGGAGGAAAGACATAACAAAACAACTTTGTATTTTATATGTCCATATGAGCACATACATGTGTCACTGCAAACAAAGTAGACTACATTATGAGCTCTTCTGAGATTGCTCAGATAATTATTTTCACAGCCTGAGAAAGAGCTGCCATTATTTACATATACAAAGAAGAAAATCTAGTGTCTTCAAAATCTTTGTCTTGGTCCCTCCTCATAAGAGCTAATTTCTTCATGGAGATGATAAAAAAGGAGCTTCACAGACGTCTGTTAGCTCATCAGAACATGGCTTTCATTTCAGACCAGAAAACAGAAAACTGGCAAAATGAAAAACAGATTAAATGGGAACTTGCAGTGTTTGCAACATCTGGTTAATTTCCTGTTACATGGAAATCAAATTTAAGAGACAATACTGCTGAGAAAGCTAAGAAGCTTCTGCTTCTAGGCTGTCCTAGTTGCAGCTGAAACCAGGATATCAGCTTTGATACAGCAAGAACACACCTTTTTCTGGCATTCAGCCCTTTAATGACAAAAAGGTGAGAGAGCATCAGAAAAAGTCATGGAGTGGTATGAAGACTGACATGCTTCTAAGAAAAGATTTACTTCCATGTACAAGCTAGACGAGTCTACTGTCCTACAATTGTGCTCTGGCTAAACATACTTATGGTGTCCTATCTTCATACATATATATGGCATATGGTAAAGAAAAGTGAAAGGCCATAACCAATAAGTGCCATAGGGATGGAACACCATGAAGGAAGAAAACCAGGGGAGCATATGTCAATACCAAAGAATATGAAATTTTCACTAACTCACATTTTAAAATATTCTTATTAAGCATAGTTCCAAATTTAAACCTTCAAAATTTAGGGAAGAATACCATTGAGCTTTCCTCATATAAACTTTTAATACATACTGTATATAACAGTTCTAAAAATTCTATTAACTCTATGATCACATCCATTTGCAATAAAATCTGTGACTCGCTCAGAAGGCAGAATAGACAGTGCTTCTGTGTGCACACATTTACTAACATCAAAATTCTGCATATGTAAGCCAATAACGTATTGCTTGTGTCAGAAACACCAGGATGTTGTCCTTTTTTTGAACAAACACATAGACAAAAAAAGTGAATGATTTCATTAACTTTTTTCATTAGTTTGTAATGCCCAGAACCAATGTTTTCAAGATATTTCATGTTAAATATATTACTTTGAAATTAATGATAAGTATGTCCTGAACTAACAGCTGAAGTTATGAGTTTATTCTATTAATCACACCTTTCATGACTACTGTCAAAGCTTGGGCTGCTGATATTTTGATATACTGCCATTAATTTCTATAGGGCAAACAACAAGCAGTCTAGCAGATATAAAAATTTTCCTTAGGGAGGTTTGATGGTATTTACAAATCTGCCATTCTAAATTTGTCAAGGGCTAACAAAATCTGTGGAATTATATGGGAAATTTCTCCTTTGTATTTTCTAGATACATTTATGAGGATCAATAAGCATTCATTGCCTTTCCTTACAACAAAACTGAATAAAGGAACACAATTTCTCGAAGTACGCATGTGCACATGTTCATTAGCTGCTTCATTTTCAGTCCAACTTGCACTAGAAAGCTCGTCCACTTCAGAATGCCTAACTCCCTACCATGCTATTCTGGAACCATACTTTATGCAGACTCTTTGTTCATAGAAACAGATTACATTTCTGCCAAAAGTCAGTTATATAATGTACTTATCAGAACATATGCAAGTTCTCCTCTCCATACTGCTCAAACACTTCTGGAGGAGAAATATTTCAAGTTCCCAGACTTTTCACTCTACCTGCTTCAGTCAACTTTAAAGACAGAGAAGAAGCTAGTTTAAACGGCCACCTCTTTAAGGCTCTCCATATTGCCAATTCCTCTGGAAATTTTAACCGTATAATTGCATGGGGTTTGATCTTCGGAGAGTGTGTGGGAAGAAGGTAATATCACCATCTGCTCTCCTCAGCCTTTTAAGTTTGTATTAGATTATTATTCAGTTCCTGCACTTGTCCACTTGTCTCCCAAATAAACACTTTCAGTTTAGTTTTAGTGTCTTTGCCTTTCCAATAATTCATGCCTTATTGCATATATACACCTTCAGCATAAATGAGTGTCAATGAAGAACTTGCATACACTGAAATGTATGCATGACTTCAAAGCAGAAAAGTCACCAGTACTTAAAACTTAAAGGTAAGCTCTACAAAAAATGAACAAAAAAATTAATCAAAAGGAAATTCATCATTTCTCCACAGAAACTGTTAAAGGGTATAGTTATTTAATATCTTACTGTTGCAGAAAAAACCCTCAGAAGATGGAGGTCATGGTGCTCATCTGTACCTATCACATAATCGTCACATCTTCCAGAGTCACTGAACTCCTGGTAACTCACAGGTGCATTTCTGGGTATTTTTCCACACAGGATTCCAGAGCACAGATTTATTGTAACTTACTATGCTGCAGATAAGTTTTTTTCATATCATAATAAGATATAGTGAAAATTTTCATATACTCTTAATTCATTAAACTGTAGTACAGAAGAAGATATTTATATTAATATACCTTCAGCTCTTGAGAATCTCCATTAAATTTAGTATACTTTTTTTTAAACAGGTAGCATTGTAGTACCACATGTTATATAAACTCTTGCATTTAATTTAATACTGTAGCTTACTATAGCATTTAGCACTCTACTATAAATGTTGCACCATATGTAAACAAATTAATGTACACTCAAAGTTCATTTTAAGGATTGTTCACCGCCACATTCTACAACCTTGCAGTACAAACCTATGGGGGTAATTAGCACACCATATTCATTAACATTTCTCCTGTGCGGGTTATGATGTATCTAATGTTCTCTTACAAGAAAGAGTAATTATAGTCAGTGAAGGTATAGCATGAGTAGGCTATAAATTATGGAAATATACTTAGAACATCAAATTAAGGGCAATTAATTTTTACAGTTATTTATGATTTTCTGTAAATGAACGATATGGGAACACAGCAAAAATATGAATAATTGTCATTTGAACTTATTTTGTCAGTCATATTTTTGAATATACACATCTGCACTAAAACATGCATTTTATTCAGTAATTCAAAATATTGGCTTTTCTTCATATGCTGTTCTCTTTTCACATTCTTTGCAACATGCAAGCAATTTTAATGCATTATCATTACATTAATACCTAAACAGAATAGCCATCATATGGATGACCATTTTACCTATTCATTATTGCATGATGCCTCTCCAGATGCAGCACAAAACAGTACTAGATTTTTTTTATTTTTTTTCCTCTCTCAAATGCCACAGTGGTACTTAGAAGAAGGAGCAAATGAGACCCTGTGCTCATGAAGGCCCTAAAGATCACCAGGTATCTGCCAATACAAATTAGTTCTTTTTATTATCCAAGTTTAATACTGTTGGGAGCAACTTTCTTTTCCAAGCTATGTATACTAACCTAATCAATGCAAAATGCAGCTATTATATCTCCTATTAGAATATGTTTCTGAAATCCAAACCAGACAAAAATGTTTATATGTATTCTTCACAAATGGTTATTCTAATATGATCCACAATTATTCTAATCATAAGCATATTCTAAAAATATTTACTAAAATACCTTCTCAGAGTTGCAACACTTATTTTGTAGGCTTTATTTGAAATACTGCAGAAAAAAAATTGAAAGAAAAGTAGAAATTTATGAAAGGAGAAAAAAAAACATTTAAAGAAATTTAAAAGTTTAAAAGTAAACCATGTGGTGTGGTTTTTAATTGCATCTCAAGGAATAACAGAAAGTTATGAGTTTTGGGTTTTTTTCTAATTTTCAGTCTTCTGTATTTCCATTCTTCTTTCCTCTACATTCCTACTCCAAAGACCTGGGGCCATAACACGTTTCTGTTCCTTGACTTCTTTATCCTATTTTTCCTTTGAGTTGCATCTCAACAGTTTCTCAGAATTCAGAAGTTGATGCACAGCCATTCTTCCGTCTAGACACACTCTCCAGATATGCTTTGACTAGATTCTTACATGCTTCC